GATATAAAATTTTTAATTTAATCACATCGCATCAAAAATATCACAATTACTAATTTTTAAAAGTGAAATATTCCTTTTCATGCATAGTTTATAACACCAAAGTATTATAATTGTAAATATTAGACCTTAGATTTTAGATATATAGATATATAAGCATTTTGTGGTGTGTATGCAAATTTCTCTTATTGTATTTAATTTTAAGTATTTCTCTTTTTCTATAACATTTCTTGTATTTTTTGTGCTTCAATTGATTAAGTGAACATAATTTCATTTTTTTATAAAAAAATTGTATCAAAAGGAATTGGTGCTGCTAAATTTAGTGTTGATTTAGATATCAATCACTTTAAGGATTTACAAAATTTAGTATATCTTTTTTTTTCTTTCTTCTTATCTAGTGCGTCCCTTCCACATTTATAAAGTTTCAAAGCACATAAAAAATCATGAAAATTGAGTCATACAACTTTCTAGCACCTGTGCTAGGAAGTTACTATGTAGAAACTGATTGTCTGTTTGTTTTGCTTAGTTTTGTAGCAGCTGTGATACAATTATTTCTAAATAATTGACCTTTTCTGTCGTTGTTGTATAGTGTTGTTTTTAACAAAAACAATCTTGCTAGCACTTTTCATAATTGAAAATAAATATTATGTTTGAATGTTATAAAATAAAAACAAACACCTTACAAAACAGTGAGTAACACAACAATAAAAAAGAGTATCAATCAATAATTGGTTAATGCCACGAGATAATTCTTTCTCTAGCAAAACTCTTAACATCTGATCACTGTTGGCGGTGGAATCTTTGAGTTGATCCACCCACCTAAAGAAGTCACCATTCTCTGTTCTTTTTCTTGGTAATAATAATTGCTATAAATCATTTAGAGGCTCACATAGATGGACGATAGAGCAAAGACCACACGGGTTACGAGACAAAATAAAAAACCACAAATAACCAAAGCCATAAATCACAAGGAAGAAGCCCCAAACGACAAAACTCAGACTTTAAGCAAATATCAGTGCCAATAGTTTAGGGTAGGGATTACCCTGTACTTGGAAATGGGAGAATGCCACAAGAACCAAATATTAGAGAGATGGGAGGAAGATAGGAGAAAAGAAATGCCATCGGAACTGCTAAACATAGTTATAGTGGGGAAAGGAGGAGGAGCTAGGGTAGAAGATCACACGGGTAGAAACACGATATGCAGGAGAGGAGAAGGAGCTAGGGTAGAAGATCTCACACAGTCGAAAAATGAGGGGGTCGAACTGAACGAAAAGAGCGTCAATCCGTTAATATTTCATAAACAAAATGTGTTGCAGCCAAAAAACTGACCCAAATTATGGATAGTTAGCTTGTTGTAAACAGCTAGTAGTTTCTTGAAAAGTAGAGGGTAAAACCGTAAATGCCTCTGCACTGTCGCAAGAGAGAAGGAACTCTCCCTCTCCGCTGACGGCGAGAAGGAAATCAATGGCGAAGACGGGTCTGGGCTGCGAGCCGGCAATAGGTTCGTTGACGCCATCGAGAAAGAGGGAGTACCGAGTCAGTAACCGGCTTCACGAGGGCAAGCGCCCCCTATACGCCATCGCCTTCAACTTCGTCGACTCACGATACTATGACGTCTTCTCCACCGTCGGCGGCAATCGAGTAGGCATTCCCGTCTCCATAATCGTTCCACCCTTAAAATTCTTCAACTCTTACTTCAAAGATTAAATAATGTTGGATTAAATGAATCAAAATATGAGATTTTGTTGATTTCATAGGTTTTCCTCGTCATGTGGAAGATCTTTATGTTAGGGTTTTCAAGCTGGATAGTTTGTGATTTTTTTAGCTTCTTGCGTTTACCATTACATTAATGCATCTAAGTTTCGTTTAAGATTTTTTTTTTTTTTTTGATTAATCTGGTTTCCTGCAGGTGACTGTTTATCGATGCCTTGAAGGGGGGCTTGTCGCTGTGCTGCAAGCTTATGTTGATGAAGATGTATGTGAGAAATTTGGTTTGTTTTGTGATTCCAATTCATAAACATTGCTGTGATTGTAAGGCTCTGTTTGGTTTTTTGAAGTAAGAAAATACTTTTGAAAAATTAAAATTAAAAAATGTACCTTTGAAGCATGGAATTTAAATTTTCTTTATGCTGCATAAATACTATATAAATCCCCCAAATTTAGTTTAATGGTGAAATCATGATTTTACAATTCAAATGATTGTGAATGGGCCTTGAGATTTTCATAATATCGTTTTGAAAATTACAGCTAGAGTTTTAAAGGCTGTGCATCTAGATTTGTGGCATTTGAAATGTTTATAGGAGCATGCCTCTTTTGTGGAAAATGAAATTGTAGAAAAATTATTGCATCCGGAGTCCGGACGTAGCTCTATGTCTGGACAATGGACGTGATTCATCTCCTCTGGGGAGAAAAAAAAGTTTTCACGCTAAAGTATATCGTATCCGTTGTCCGGACGTAGGCTACGTTCTGACTTCAGACGCAATAATTTCTCGAAATTGTGTGAGTAGTTTTTAGTATAAACCAAAGAGGGAAGAAAATCTGGATGTAGCATAATTGTAGATATAAAATTTTTAATTTAATTGACTGAGTAGATTTTTTGTGCTCAAGTAAATATAATATAGGAGTATGTTGCTTTTCTCCTACATGTTTGGAATCATCAAGGATATTTTATTTTGGATTAATTTTTGTCATTCAATCATATAATTAATAAATAAATGTTATTTATCTTAATTTTCTTAGTAAAACATAGCAATATGCAAAATTTATGAATTTTTTAAATCAGTTGCTTATGCATGAAGTATATAATTGTAATCCCAATGGATTGTATAAATGGTAAAAGAAGAATGCATTAATTTTACGGTATAGGACTCGAGTCAAACATTTTTTTTTTGGCATATATACAATGGCTTTTGGAGAACAATTTATTGGTTGAAATCCCAAGAAGTCTATGTGGAAATATTTATGAGCGAGATATTATTAGCCTTTTTTTTTTCATCAGATTTGTTTGATGGACAAATGTTCATAAGGAAGCAATTAAATTAAATAAGTTCACCAGATTATTCTTAGATTGTAGATCAATATTCGTGGACTTGATCTTATATTTCATTGTAGTAGCATACAAAATTAATTCTATTGAGTCTGTGTTTGTTTCACATGAAAGATTTGTAGACCTGTTTGCTGAGTTTCTTGTTCTTATTGTGCATTGCATGTGCTTATTTTCTGATAATTTTTCATATTATTAATAGAAGTTTGAAATTTTGCTGCATAATTGGTTTGCCTATTGGAAATGACTTTCTTTCGGGTAAATTGGTATTTAGCAATGAAGTTTATCAGTCATATATGTTCTAATATCTTAAAGTTGCACTAGACAGAAGGATGAGTCATTCTATACTTTGAGTTGGGCATGTGATATTGATGGAACTCCATTATTGGTGGTGGGTGGATGCAATGGTATAATTCGCGTCATAAATGCTGGTGCGGAGAAGATTCATAAGGTAATTTTTGTTCGGGGTGATTACATTTTATCCTCATGATTATATTCTAATGAACACGTAATCCTTATGTAATTTAAAAATGTATGTTTGACCCATATGCTTTTAACTGAATTATTATTGTCATTTTCTTCATTCAAGTTGACAAAAGAAGTGGAATAGATGCTTTTTTCCCTTTGCTTGAATACCTTGAAATCATCACCATCTGATTACTATTTTAACACAAGACCTCTTTCCCCAACAAAAACACATCCATAGCCTCCATCACCTTCAAGCTCTATTACATTTTTGCGTCAGCTAACAGTAGAAAGCATCAGCCGACAACACTTGTAAAAAACAAGGAAGAAGTTATAACAACAGGAAACAAGCACAGTAGCGGCAGCTAGATGAAACATTGGAAAACAAGCAAGCAATGACCAGTGCTACAGCAAGCTTGGAAGGAATTTTTTACTCTTAGCTAGAGGGAAGGGTTCAACAATCAGTTTCAGGAATATTAAACTGTGAGAATTCAACGGGGAGGAGGAGAGAAAATAAGAAAAATAAAGAAAAAATATTTTGGGGAGTTTTTTTTATTTCTTTTATTACAATAATTAAGCATTTATATAGAAAACTTTTAGGAGAGTTTGATCTAATCCATCTCTAAACCAACTCTATAAAATGTTGTCTATATTAACCTGATAAGGTTAAAGTAAATAATAAGTAATTATTACAGTAATTATTATCGTCTAAATTTAAATTTAAATATTCTGATCTTAATTTTAATCCAAATAAATTTAAAATAATCAAAATCGTCCTTCTTCGATACAAAATTTTATCTAGCAATCCTACCTCTAGAATTATTACAGTAATTATTCTGATCTGACTTTAAATTTAAATACTTTGATCGTAATATTAATTCAAATATAAACTTGTCCAAATAAATTTAGAAAAATCAAAGTCATCCTTCTTCTATTGATAATTTTATCTAACAATCCTACTTCTAGAACTACGATTTTCAAAAATATAATGATTGATTATTTGATCACACCAACAGGCTTTTTATGATATCTTGTTTAAAATTTCAACATTGTGGTTTTAGAATTGCCGACTTTAACAATTACATCACAGAAATTGGATCATTAAAACTTCAAAGTGCGGTCCCTTCAATATTTATGTGATCAAATGCCTATATTGTGAGGATAGATTCGTCTCATGAACTTATTCAAGATGGATGGTCAGATTGACTATTCCCTTCATGTATGATTCATGGATCATCCAATTTGGGTTTTAGGGCTTGTTTGATGACACTGAAATGCAAACTTAGATGACATTCGTGGTGGCCATTTTTGGCATCAGAATTGTGAGTGAAATCTTGGCTGATGATATTTGGAGAAGATCAAGCAATAGGGGCTTATTGGAAAAGAATATTTAATTTTTGGAGTGATAGGGGATTGAGATGATGGTAAGCTCACCCTAAAATGGCTGGAATGACATTTCAGTATTGTGAGGAAAGATTGGAGATATTTATTAAACATAAGGTGACTGAAAATAGATATAAGGTGATTGAAAATAAACTTTGGTGATTTAGATATATATGATGAATGGAAAAAATGCACAAGCAGCGAGTTAGTAAATTTAATATCAAAAGATTAAGAAGGCAAATGAGTAGACTTATATTTAAATGGATAAATTTTATTCAAAATAATTTATAACAAATTTGTTTAGCACATCATACAAAACTTATTAAGAACAAATGGGAAATGGGGACTCATCATACCAACTCAAAAATAGTTGAGATAAGGAGATAATAGAGATGATGGTCAATTTGTATGAAAAAAAATAATGGTGGCATCTTAATTAGAAGTATACGAGGGTTAATTGCTTATTGTTAAATCATATAGGGTTCATGTGCTCATCATGGTAAAATGATGGGAGTAAAATGTAAATTATCTCTAATTATTTTATTCATATATGAGATAATAAACGTGGATTGACAATGTCTTTTTGAAATTAAGAAAAAATTTCATATCAAAGTTAGTTCTTCCGCTCTTATAAGGAATATTAAGGAAGAAAATTTTGTTGAGTTTTTTTCATTTTATATTGCAGAACTTAAGCTTTTAAATAAAAATATTATACTAGAAATTGATTCAATCCATTACTGAACCAACTCTACAAAATGAGAAAATATTTCTAGAATAAGGACTTGATGATAAGTTTAAACTAGATAATACTTCATGTAGCAATTTTTGTAATCTGAATTTAAATTTAAAGTTAAATAAAAAACTTTCCAAATATTTTTTTAAAAATCAAAATTATTTTTATCCTTCTATAATATGAAATTTTTTTGGAAAATTATTCTTTTGGAACTTTGATAATCAAAATATGATGTTCTATTGGTTATTTGATCTCATCTGCGTTCTCCTAATGACATCTTGTTTAATCTCAACATTGTTGATTTAGAATCACTATCGTTAGCAATTTGCATCTAGAAAATTAGTTTGTTAATACTTCAGAGAACATGATCTCTTCAACTTTGTGTTAAGATACCCAAGTTGTGAGTATAGCTTCATCTTATAAGCTTTAAGTTGGATGATCGGATACTTATTCCCTTTGTGATATGATCCATGGATCATCAAATTTTGGGTTTTATGGTTTGTTTGATGATAACAACAATGGAGAAATTGATGATGCTCTTGGTGGCCATTTCTGGCTTTGGAGATGAGAGCAGATTCTTGGCCTATGATGTTTTGAAAAGATTAGTCAATAAGGGCCCCTTGGAAAATAATATTTAATTTTTGTTCTGAAAGTGGAATGGATTAGAATAAATCTTCCACCATTAATATTATGAGGAAATGTTGGAGATATTTATTGAACATAACAAGCCTAGAAATAGATTTTGTTGATCTGGATATGTACAATGAATGGTAGAAAATGCTTAATTAGTGTCAAATTCGAATATGCCTTATGAATCACACCCAATGAATAGAGCGTAAAACTGGAGAGAGTGTGTGTGCACAGGAACAAACAATAGGATGAGAGAATTGTGTCTGATTAGCTGATTGATTTATTACCCTTTATTATAGAGGGGGTTACCGTGTGCAGAATTACATGCTTACCCCTACTTTAATGGGGATGTTATAGGGTATTTACTTAAATTTGCCAATGGCTCAGCTACCCTATTGCTCGGTCAGTTGAGATTGACTGTCCTTGGGTTGGCTAGGCTCGTTCGGCCGATGATATTGAGTTGGGGTTGTCGATCGACTCTGGTTAATTTTCAGCGGCCCAGACTTGGCTCAAATGGCTTGAGTCAACCTGTCAGCTGTTTTGGTCCTGCTTTCGACTATTGACCCCTAGATGAGGAGCTTCAGTCACCAAGTTAACACTAAGCTGTCAGGTAGAAGGTGAATCACCGTTATCTGATAGATAGCTCACCCCTTGACAAAAGGTCTCTTGTGGTGTTTACGGAGTATATTGTGGCGAGAACCTTTAGCCTTTGGGTGGAAAGTCTCGAAGGTTCTTATGAGGCTACCAGCGATGCTGGGCAAGAGATGGGTTGATTCCTTCTTCCGGCTCGACACATATGGGTCATTAGCTCAAACGGCCTTTGATTGGCCGGCTTCAGGTTCCGACTCGAAGGATTCGTACTTGGTTGATCAAGTCTTTAATATTCCGATGGTCGGATGGTGCCCAAAATTGCTACGAAGCTAGTCGTTCAATCACACAACATATGTATTGATCAATTAATATAGAAAAACGAGTACGAGTATTGATCCCATGAGGATAGTGTTAAAATATTTCTAACAAACGAAGTTCTAGTTTACTAAACCTCTAAGTTTAGTTTGAAGTGATCGAATACAAGATAAGAATCTAACAATCTTAAAAGCACAGAAAATAGAAATGATAGAAAAATAGTACTCCCGTGACACTTGTGAGGTAGTTTCTTGAAGTTTTCCTATGGAACACATGCTATTGTTGACATTCAAGGATTAAAATTTTTTGCTTAAGCCTATGCTTAGATCAGAAGAAGAATCAACAGCCCATAAAATTATATTTCTTTTAACACTATGACGTTTCCCAAGATTCTTCAAATCTTCTATCTAGGTTGCAAAATCTAACTACAATGTCTATTCTATCATGTTTTTGTGGTTAACTAACTCATTCCGCCACACAACAGACATAAGCCATAATAGTTTACGAGGAATTTTAACATTCTTATTGCATTCGAGAAAAGGTAAATTACAGCCGAAAAATTAACACATAAATATAGAAAATTCTAGCAAAAAAGTGTAGAGGGAAACAATAAAATCCATAGAATGAAAACGACAAGAAAATCACATGCCTTATATCATAGGAGCATGAAACAAAGTCAATCACAATGCATGAGAAAAGAAAATGTTAAAACTTTTATTGCAAGTATAATGATAAAGATTGCAGTGCAAGAGGTCCAGAACACTCACTTAAAGTCAATTCGTCCTTAGCAATGCATTACACTCCTCTCTGATCAATACGAGCTCTCACAAATCTGCTCTCGTATATACACACTCAATCCCCCCTTACAACATCCTCAAACCCATCAAAACAACATGAAAAGAGGAAGAAACATACTCTTTCGAGCGAACCCAAGAAAGAAACCCCTAGAGCTCCAAAGACTTCCCTAAGCCTCAGAGGCTCAGTCCCCAAGGCCAAAAGTGCTTCTATGATGATAAAAACTAGTTTACATACTTAGGTGTTGTATTAGAAGTGCAAAATAGACATAATAACTCCTCAATCCATCAAATTACAAAATTCAAAAGTTTGGGTGCGCTTGTGTGTGTGTGCTCTGGTGACTGCAGGTGCTGTTGTGAACGCGCAAATGCATATACACTTGGAGTACGAAGACTGGAGGGCGCTTTCGAAGGCTTGGCCTCTTTTTCGGGCACGTACACGCACTTAGAGACACGCAGGGTTGCGGTAGCATGCAAGGGCGTTGGAGTGCGTAGGCGGATGCGCACAAGTGCACACACACAGAGCTCGCGCAAATGCTTAGTTGCTTGTTCGAAATCCTGATTTTCATCTTATTTTCTTCTCACTGTACCTCTTTTCCTTCCCCAAGTGGCATAAACCCTGAATACTACACAACACCACAAAGATATCTTTCTCTAACATAATATCATGATAAATTAGGGAGATAAATTGGTATTTAACATAATGAAATCACATAAATTTACCTTATATCATGGGATCTTTGGTCTTCCTTATATGGGCTATCCCTGGTTGTACTTTCCCATCTCTTAGTCCATTAGATCTTCTTGAGATTCGTGTTGACGCATTTCAAATGTACAATTAGATGGGTTGGTAAAATTAATCAAAAAATATTAGGCAAGAAAATGAGATTAGGAATGATTTGTGAAAAGCATGTTTGGCACATCATACAAAAACTCAACAATAATGAACGGAAAATGATTATTCATAATGACGACCCTAAGTAGTTGGGATAAGGCTGAGGTAATGATGATGGGAGTGGTACTTTCTCTGTTAACTTGTATGGGACATTTTAATAAGTATATTATGGTTAATTGCATATTGTTAAATCATAGAGGATTTATCTACTCATTATGATAAAATGACGGGAGTAAAATGTAAATTACCTCAAATTTGCTTATTCATATTTTATTAATTTATTTTAATTGAAAATATCTTCTTGAAAATAACCTCACCCATCCATCTAAGATGGCTATTTTCATGATTTGAACTCATAACCTCCAGGTTACAGTACAATGGAGCCAACCGTGCAATTACCATAGACTGACTCTAATTATTTTCTCTAAAATGCTAAGAAATATTCTTAAGTAGCATCTGAAACATGAGGCCATTTGGTTTGATTCTTGATTATAGTTAATGTAGCAGTGTGAGTAAAGTACTGATGCATATCAGATTTGGCTACTTGATCCTGTAATTTGTTTTTGTTTTGAAGTTAGATGGTTAATATTGAAAGCAATTTGCTTGCATGTTGCAGAGTTTTGTGGGCCATGGTGATTCAGTAAATGAGATAAGGACTCAATCACTGAAACCTTCACTTGTGGTGTCTGCTAGCAAGGTACTATAGTATTTATTTATCAAATTGTTTCGTTGTGTAAATTATCAATTTTATAGTTTTATGAAATTTTTTGACAGGATGAATCAGTGAGATTGTGGAACATACACACTGGGATTTGCATTCTGATTTTTGCAGGGGCAGGTGGCCACCGAAATGAAGTTTTAAGTGTTGTAAGTTCTAGGAAGTTTCGTTTAGCCAACCCAAAATTTTCCTTGATTTACTCTGGTACATATATTGCTGTTTTTATTTTTTTCATATGTTTTTTTTCAGGATTTCCATCCATCTGATATCTACCGTATTGCAAGTTGTGGCATGGACAACACTGTTAAAATTTGGTCGATGAAAGGTGAAATACTTTTTTGCATTCTTTTTTCTTTTTAATACTAATATGTTTTGCTCAAGTAGCTGCTTTATGACATTTGGCTGGCATTTGCAGAGTTCTGGCAGTATGTCGAAAGGTCCTTTACATGGACTGATCTTCCATCAAAATTTCCTACAAAATATGTGCAGTTTCCTGTGAGCATCAAATTACCTTAATGTTAAGAAGGAAATAAAATGTTTAATGATATCATAATAGATGTTCAGCTTGCATATCTTTTCAGTTTTGTATATTGGCTCAGCTTCTGCTCTTCTTAGGTTTTTATAGCTTCAGTACACTCCAACTATGTAGATTGCAATCGCTGGCTTGGTGATTTTATACTATCTAAGGTGCGCTAATTGCCTTTTTCTGAGTGAGATCAATTCATAGATTCATTTTTTGCTAGAGTGGCCATTTGGCTGTCTTTCTTGGTGTTTTCACCTTTCGTGACATTTGTTTTGCTACATCTCTATATATCATAATAATATATCACCGGTACGCCGATTGATGCGTTCTTGCAGAGTGTCGACAATGAAATTGTCCTTTGGGAGCCCAAAATTAAGGAACAGAGCCCTGGGGAGGTGATTTTTTTTTTTTTAACACTTCTGTATTCTAGTGTCTGCTGAACATTTAGTAACATGATGCTTATATAAAACATTTTAAAATGCATTGTTTTCAAACCTTATTTCTGTTTGTGGCTATGCCATGATCTGCACAAGAGATATTTGAAATTTTAGTTTGGCTAAATCTTAGCATGCATTTAGTATATTTTTTCTCTTTCATCTCTCATAAATTCAATGGCTTGATCTTAATCCGAAGTAGGGGGCTGTTGATATTCTACAAAAGTACCCGGTGCCAGAATGTGATATCTGGTTCATCAAGTTCTCGTGTGACTTCCATTATAATGCTGCAGCAATAGGTATGTTCCACTTACATTTTAATAGCTTGCATGTCTGATTTTTTTTGTAGATTTGTTTCACAAAATGAATTATCGAGGATTTTATTATTATTATTATTATTATTATTATTATTTTCTTATTGACGCCTCAGTTGATGGGGAAGTGCTTTCTTTCCCCACAATTACACTGTTGATTTAATTATAAAATAAAATGACAGATGGGATCATTATGCACTTTCTTCATACTGAACAATCAAAACATTTTATATAATTGCTTTCTCTTTGGAACTGTAACGTCTACTTCAGTTTACGTGAGAGCCCATTCCAACTAAATGTCTTGATTCTGGGAAGCATTAAAGGTCAAACTTTGTCCTGTCCAGTGTTGACTTACAATAAAAGTGATAGAATATGAAACTTTCTCCCATTTCCTCCACTTCCATGCTTTAAAAAAACATGGCTTGAAGCACTCCAACTATACCAAAATAAGAAAAGACTCTTTCCACAATATTTCCTATGAAATAGTTATAAACAACAAAATCACATTTTTGCTTTTAAGAAAACTCCATCAGAGCAAGGTAGTTTCATTGGCATGAAGCATGGATATAAAAATAGGACTTTTTTCTTAAACAAAATAGCAACCCTTTGTTTGGCCTGTTACCATTATTCGAAGCCTAATTGGCATTATTGGAAATGCCTGATGGTAATCATGTTCCTCCATCCAAAAAATTAAACTTGTTTATGCTTCCAATGTGTTGGAAGATATTAGAGATAGGATCATTCCATTGTAGCTTGTAAAATCTCACTGGATTTTAATTTCACTTCTGTTTTTTCTTAACTAGGGAATAGGGAAGGGAAGATTTTTGTTTGGGAGCTACAATCCAGCCCACCTGTTCTCATTGCTAGGTAGACTTTCAATTCAAATCTTTCTCTGCTCATCTTTTGTAGTTGCTTCTCGATGTCCGGGCCGAAGAATTTATTGCTCTTTGTATAAGTATGATTATTCTATTTCAGGCTTTCCCATGTTCATTGTAAATCTCCAATCAGGCAAACTGCTGTATCCTTTGATGGAAGGTATTGAGGACATGCTCAGTGCAAATTATTTAGATTTAGTTCTAATTATCATAAATTTCCTTGACATGTATTGATGGTTTGAGCTTTTATCAAATAGATACATTTAATGTCAAATTTACAGTACTATTCTAAGCTGTTGTGAGGATGGCTCGATCTGGCGATGGGATGCAGTGCAATGAAGATGCATGCTGGTAAAATTTTGATGTTGCATACTTTTGTTGAATATTTGCAAATCTGTCCTCTAGTTGCTTTCACAGTAAAGTTTTATTTATTTATTTTTTATTTTGTGACATGTAGTATCTGAAGACCGGTTACTGAATCACTTCTAACTATCAGAAATGCATTGGTAAGAGCATTCTTAGCCTCTTTTTTTTGGTTTCAATGGCTATTTTTTTACTCTTGGTTTATGAATATATATTTTTTTCCATACATCCCACACAATTCTTATATATTGACATATCAACACCTAAATTTTCATATTTACACAGTTGCACTCTAATCCTTACTATTACATCCTAAATACAACTATTACCAAGTTTTGAAAAGTGCAATGCACCTTTTCATGCACAGGTTATGCAGTGGAAAACTTACAGTTCTAAATTTCAAACTTTATGTGTTAGATATGTAAATACATAGAAATTGTGTGGTATGTAGGTAATTTTCCCTCATTTGTAATATATATATATATTTATTTGAGAAAGATTGATTTCTATTTGTACAGGTATAACCTATTAAATATATGCTTCGGTTGTATCAGTTGCTGCTTATGGAGCCTGAGAGATGTAAACAGAAATTTTTATCAGATCAGAAAGTGGTCTTTTATTATGTATTATCTACTCTGTCAAACGAAGGTTGATTAATCTACTGCGACTGATAGTTTCTTAAGAGAATGTCCCATTAATTTGTTTTGTAGAATGTCCTGTAATCGTCTTCATGCGGTGCTTCGTAGCATACTATTAATAGAATTTACTTGTGAATTTAACATAAATCGTGCCAAACATTAAAAAAAAATGAAAATTAAAGCCAACGTTCCATTAAATCTAATTTTCTTACGTTCCGTCTTTTTTTCCGCTGGCATTTCGTCTGTTTTTTTTTTTACATAAATTTAAATGTAGTATATCTGATTCGGGGTGTAAACGAACCGAACATAAGTAAGCCATGCTCAGCTCGTGTTCTGCTCGTTTATATTTCGAGAAAAGTGTGTGTTTGTTTTGGGCTCGTTTGCTTAGGGAGCCGAACACGAGCTGTTCACGAACAAATAGTCCTTTTAACTACCATAATCATATAGCCATAAGACTAAGGGTTTGAGCAAGATTTAAAAATTATTATTTATATTAAAACTTCATTTGAATCTAATTTAATAATTTTTATTCTATTTTCTTAATCAATATTTTAATCGATTATAAATCTTCGAGCCAAAACAAGCCGAACACGAACTAACACATCTTAGTTCGTGTTTGGCTCGTTAACTTATCAAACGAAATTTACGAGCCGAACACGTGCTAATTAAAGAGCCAAACACGAGTTGTTCTCGAACAACGAGCCATTTTGACAGCCATATATCTAATTGCGAGATGAATTTATTCTACCATATCTCATGGGCTCCTCCATCTGTGACTGGATTTGATGAATCCAGATATTATTTAAAGTTCAATTCTCGAACAACGAGCCATTTTGACAGCCATATATCTGATTGCGAGATGAGTTTATTCTGCCATATCTCATGGGCTCCTCCATCTGTGACGATTTGATGAATCCAGATATTATTTAAAGTTCAACCATTTTCTTATAATTCATTCAGATTCACATATGTTAATAATATTGTTATAAACAAGATATCGTGAACATAAACTATATATTATAAAGATTATATTATAACTATTTGCAATGACAATAAAATCAAAATGAATAATTGAAAATTGAAGTATGAATTTCTTAAATTTAATTGTTTTACTTTTGAAAGTATGTTTCTGTACTTCTCTATGCTGGACTTTCTTAAGAGAATGATAGAAAGGATGAGCTTGCAAAGCCGTTTCAGTATCAACTTGTCGAACCAGATTGACCATCAACTTTCTAGTCAGAGTTTGATGGGGGCTGATTGTCAATTGAGCTCAAGACAGTGGACTCACCGGCGGAAAGGTCGACTAGTGTTTATCATAATGAAGCATCCATTAAAGCTCTAGGCCAAAACCATCTACATCCACACCAAGTTTCATTAGTCGACTATTCCAAACAATCTGAAAGCAAGTAGAGCTACATTTTAACCTACCAAGAAACTTAGTTGTTTCGACAAGTGGGCTGCTTGGTCTGAGTTTGTATCAAGTTTATAAGCCATTTATATTTCTTAATCCTTTTTACACTTGTAGCTCATTCTTACCCTTACCTAATCCGCTTGAGACCTCAAATGCCTATCTTTAAATCTGAATTGTGGGGAGAGCCAAGGGATTGATGTGTTTACTCCACCCTCATTATTTTTATTGTGGCATCCCGAGTTTAACTTAAGTGGATTCATACGCTTGTCTTTTCTCTTTTCTACTATTTCTCATTTCATCTAAATCAATAAGGTTTAGGCATGTGTCACCGACAGATGGAGTCCTAACACTTAGTTTTAAATAAATAAATAAATATATATACATCTGGGAGACATGCGGGATAGAGAGATCCCATAATCCCCCCACCTAAAGTTTCAAGGCAAGTTGGGGGTTTTTTAGTCATCTCATACAAGCAATGTGTGGGACCCACTGACATGAGTTCCAGGCTCGGGACTAGGTGACAGTACTTAATGTGGTTGGGTAGTTACGTAGCCTGGTTATGGTGCGGCCAAGTGGCTGCAAGGTTGTGTAGATGTTTGACAACGCGGGCGACAGGTCGGGTGACTATCAAGTTGGATTAGTGATCATGGTCTGGTGAATTTACCCGGGGAGTGTCATATCACTTACCATCCATCTGCAAATCATCATTATGATTCGTACTAACACTCTTTTTGATGTATATATTGAAGTTCCCCGATTCTCTTGCTTCTTGATGATAATAGTTGTGATAAGGACATGTGAATCTTTAAACAGTTTCGTGACATTCATGATTATTAATGTACAGTAATTAATCACTCCTCGCCTTCGCCGCAAAAGCTTTATTATAAATTAAGCCCAGGCACTTATCTTTCAAAGTATCCTTTGAGATCCTTTGAGATCTGACTTGCCTTTTTTCTAGTGGCGCTCGGGATGAAGGGTTGGAGGTCAACTGCATCTATTGATGAGAAAGGATGAGCTTTATTCATCTAGCCGATGAAAGATATGGAAAGATCTACCTTCATGACTGGTCGTCTGGACAGACGTAATTAGACCAGAGTGAAGTCTCTAAATCTTGTTCTTGGAGTGGGATATTCAGATTTGAATAACGATTAACTTGTGGAAAAAATATTACATCCGGACTTTGCATGCAGAGCTACATGTAGTCTAATCCCGAGTTGACGCGCGGAAGAATGGGGCCCACCTACATAAATAATGAAAAAAACAAAAACAAAAACGGGCGACACGACCCTACCAAAAAACCCACCATTTTCCTGCCAGCTTTCATAAAAACATTTCGCCCTAGTGGAGTAGCTACCGTTCTATTGGCAGCTAGGGTTTGTTGTTTAGGGTTTCGATGGACTTATCATTGAACGATGAAACGTTGGAGGACTTCCATCCATCATTCTCTCTCAAATTCGAATATCAAGTGAGTCTATAATGATTTTTAATTTTAAGTTAGGTTTGGGTTATTCCGGTGTTTGTTTTTTGGTTAGGCTAGTTTTTATTTTGTATGCTAGCTTGAAGTTAGTTTCCACTTTAGTTCTATTGTTTACTTTTGGGTTGTTTTCTTTTTAGTTTACTCGTATCGGTCTAGTATTATGCTTATGCATGTTTGCTAGTTTTTTTTGGTGTTATACTGGTGTTATTATTGTATTATTATGGAGTTATGTGTTGTTACTGTCGTAGAATAGTCTTATTCTGTTGTAAATTATGGTATTAATGTGATTTTTTTGGGTGGTGTTGAATAGTAGTTATGCGATCATTTAACATGTAATTATGGTGTTATTGTATTGTTATTATCAATGTTAACGTGGTGTTAGTCTTTTGTATTTGTGGGTGTTGTTTTTGGGGTATTTTGTTTGGTGTGTCCTTTTATTGTTTATTTTATTTAGTATTATCCTAGAGTTATTCTCATTCATGCATTTCATCTAGTTATTTGTGGTGTTACGCTGGTATTATTATGGTTTTATGCTAGTATTATTCGGGTTTGTGCTTATGCTATTGTATGATAATTGTTGTATAATGATGTTAATATGGTGTTTTTGGGTGATGTTGTAATATGTCGTTAATGATGGTGTTGATGTGGTGTTTTTTATTGTGTTATTAATGCAGTGTTGTGCAGTGCTTGTGCCTTTTCTGACTATGGGTTAATTTTGTTCAAAATTGCAAACTCATGAGTTTAAAAATGTTCACAATGATCCAATTGCCGAGAAGTTTCTTAGCACCACTGTCCACAATGATTAAGAAACATATGAAAACAATTGTGCCTATGCACATAATGTAGGATTCACTGTTCGGAAGGATCATAGTAGTTATTGGCCGAACTCCAAGAAAACTAAGGCTAAAGATTTTATTTGTGAAAAAACTGGTCTCAAGAAAGAGTTTAACAACATAGATACAGTGAAGTTTAAAAAAAAAAGACACGAGAACTGGCTGTCAGACCATGATTTGTTATGCTATCGATCTTGAAGGCAATTGGACAGTGAAAAAATTCATTGAAAGTCATAACCATCAATTGGTCGAAAGTGGTAACAAACATCTTCTTCATTCAAGTAGAGGAATAACTGAGTTAAATGCAGATGTGTTGAGATCAATGAGAGGATCATGGATCAAAGCAACAGATGCATATAACTTCATCGCTACAGAGGTTGGGAGAGTGGAGAATTTGAAATGCACTAAGACATGTGTCATAGATGCCAATGCTATAATACAATTGTTAATGGAGAGACAAACTGAGGATAACATGTTTGTCTGAGATTTCCAAACCGATGAGTATGATAGATTAACAAGCATTTTTGGGAGTGATGGGTTATCCAGGCTTGATTATGATTATTTTAGGAGCGTAATAATTTTTGATACAATCTATAAATTAAATAAGTATAATACTCCTTTTGTGGGGGTTAACCACCACTAAAAAAACGTACTGTTTAGAGTTGGATTTTTGTTCGAGGAGACTTGAGTATTTCACGTGGTTATTCAAACCATTTATTCGAATAATGGGTGACAAGCTTCCAATAACAATTTTCAACGATCAAGATCAAGCGATGACAATAAAAATTTTAAGATAAATTTAATGCTAGACAAATTGAGATGAATCATTTTTGTTATCAACTTTATTATTTTATGACTATTTGGCATATCTCTTTAATTTATTATTGATCATAAGAATACCAATAATTTGATGATTGATGTTGTGTTTCATTATATATTAAATGTAATGTAATGGTTCACCTTATAAACTTTTGTGTCATAATTGTTTAGTCATGTTGTTTAGATGTTATTCTATTTTAACATATAATTTATTTTCTTGTGCGTATTATAATTGCACTCTGTTGTATCAATTATTAATATAGCTACTAAAATACGGTCAGTTGTATCTGTCTTTATCTAATCGCGTTCAAATTCTATCAAAATCTTAGTAGGACTAATATAAAAAATAGAGTTTGATTTCTCTTCGAAATTTTTAAATCTTTAACATATGCTCATCTCCTGCCCTCATGCTAGCTATGCATGGAAGTACTCCATTAGATTTCTTGCTTTAATAAGCTCCATGATCAAATTCCAAATTTAGTGATAATCCTTAACCCATGGCCTCTATGAAAAGCATATCAATTGGAAGGATCTCATGCATAGAAATTGGTCCTCATTAATGCAAGCCATTAAAATTCGTCTTTACCCTGAATGGATTCATTCATCTAGCTTATTCATTAACAACATTAGCATGGTGATGATTGAGTATCAGCGAGGTGAAGTCAAATATTTCATCCCCAATGCCTTGAATTCTTCTCACCTTGTTCTCATCTCTCAGAACAATAATCATGATGATGAGGTCATTCATGATAAGTTTGGTGTTATGACTGCCAAAACAAGGTTATTTCAATTAACCTTGAATTGTTTGGGTGGCTTGTATTCTCTCTTGCAAGTCACTAAAAGCTCTCTACCATAAGAAGATATCTTGTTTGACTTATGCTAGACCAACTCACAAGAATCATCATTATTATATTCTTCAACATTGATATTAATGTTAACAAGTTCAACCAAATGCCCAACTCAGCACCAAAATCAACAGATATAAAAAAAGAATCATCATAGCTTAACTATTTCTCCATCATTAAGCTTAGAACAACAAAAATATACTTAAACATAAAATTCTCAAAGTCAACATAAATGCAATGAAGAATAGAGGCAAAATCAAAGTAAATTTTTGAGTGTATGCATCATCGCAGCCGAGTAGGCAACTTAACTCGAATGCATGGGAAGCAGAAATCTCAATCAATCACATTTTCTTCACAGAACAGCACAAACTAACAAATTTACATTAATTATAACCAAATCTTTTACAACCACAGCTTGTTCAAGCTTCTAAATCACAAAAAAGGGATCGAGTCATTTCCATAATCGCTAGAGAACAATGCAAATAAATTACCAGTCGCGCGACAATCAGAACATATTGCCCCCAGTCAAATACTTGGTTGAAATGAGAAGCAATTAACCCAAAGATCCAAATCAGTCAGTAGCTACAGCAGCCATGAGCTGCCAAAATAGGATACCAAAGGAGATGAGGTGCTCAAGCAACAGGAGGGCGAGATTCGGCATCTTGCGATGTATCGACGTCAGAAGGCTGCATGAACTGCCACATAGGGTACCCAGGATAGCTTATTATAGGCATCATCAACTTCTGCCCAGTGTTGTTCCCTTGGGCAGCAAAGGCAGTTGGAATCACAGGGGCGTGAGGTATGAAGCTTGGCCTTGCATTCAGGAACTTTATCTGCTGCTCCAGGCTCTCTTTCTCTGCCTTCAACCGTTGCTTCTCATCACGGAGTTCATTCTTTTCAGTCTGCAGGGTAGTTTCAACCATTCATCAGCGGTAATTCTAACAGATTTAAGAAGATTTTTTTTTAAACATGGAGGGGATGACGTTGAACTTTTTCCTGATCGCAGATAAAATTTTATTGCAAATATGGAGGGAAAGGTTATCAATCCAATAATATTTAATATTTGCATTTTGTTGGCAATGTTATTAAAGGTGATGCTTCTGTCTCCCAAAAGCTCCTTCCCTGAAACCTTCCACAGGTTTTTTCTGGACCAAATTCAACCTTGTTAACAAGAAAAAAGTGGCTAAGATATTTGTTTTGGAAGGCAACAAGAATGGTAAGAGTAAATCATTCAGGAGTTGTACAAAGAGAAAGTTATTTACCAAAAGCGACATGAAAAACCGTGATCTTTACAGAGAAAAGGCAAAAACAGCACAAATATTCTGTGCAGCTTTCCTTCAGTAAGAAGGATTCGATCGAAACATATGGAAAAAAGCTATGCCGAAGGCCAAAAGTTTCGGGATAAAATTAATGTGTACAATATGATAATAAGAAAAAAAGTTTGGCAAACCTTTAACTCCTTAATTTTCTCTTGGAGATTTTCATTCAAATCTTTCAGTTTCTCCGCTTCGGAGCGCAGTTGATTCACCATACGGGTGGCATCCTTAAGAATAGCTACTTTGTCCACTTTAGGTGGCTTTCCAGGTTCCAAAATGGACCCCAATTCAAGAAACCTAAGTCAAAATGAGTTACAAATAATATACCTTTTTTATTAACAACACATAATGAAGAATATACATGCAACCAGTTGATTCACCATACGGGTGGCATCCTTAAGAATAGCTACTTTGTCCACTTTAGGTGGCTTTCCAGGTTCCAAAATGGACCCCAATTCAAGAAACCTAAATCAAAATGAGTTACAAATAATATACTTTTTTTATTAACAACACATAATGAAGAATATAAATGCAACCGTACTTGTCATTCAATCTATCTCTCCGCATTTTCTCCCTGCAAGCTTTAGATCCGGGTTGACTGGAAGATTCAGACCTGACACTGCAACCCAGAAAATGACCGACAATCACACACCAGATGAGTATTGAAAGCTACAGAGAAAAATTTGGAGAATGATTTAAACCGTTTATGGGATCCTTGTTCCTTGAAGGCATCAGTTTCTACGAAAGAGGCATCCAGTGCCACACTGGAACAGCAACGAATGGCTTCAATTAGCTTGCCATAAAGAAAAAAAAATCTACTCTAGAATGGATAACAAAGGAAAAGGATAAGATTATGTAAAGCAATAGCAAAACAAAGATGGCGAATACAATAAGGAGCTTAATTCAACCACCTCAAATTGCTAATGAATAACTAAGCAGTTCAATATGGCCAGAATAAGAAAATGCTAGCCAATCAGAGCCCCTTGTAAAATGCAGAGATTCCTACTACAAATATAACAGCATGCAGGAAATACTACAAAATATAACAGCATGCAAGAAATACCTAGGCATAAAACTCAGAAAAATGAACTACAATATCATCGTTTTTAGTACCTTTTCTTTTTAATTAGACAAGAAAAAGAGTTCTATCTAAAACAAGTATATTGGAAGCACTGAAGCTCATATATACACATTCCTTAATAACAGGAAACTGCATCCAGAACCCCATGACTTTTCATCATGAGCCTGAATTGATTACAATTAAGAATCTAATGGCCCATAAAGCCATGACTTTTCTTGTATAATAGCAAACACTATTACCAAGTAGAATATGCTTATGAGGTTATAAATGAAGAACAATCTACAGAACTACGCCATTGAATGGCCCATAAAACCATATATTTCGGCAGTACCTGTCTTTTATTTCCATGTGCAACTTATTTTCTGATGTAATAACCATCACAGCCATCTAATTTGTTATCCGCAATTTTGTGATCATTTTATCCGGTTAAATTTAGGGCTGTAAATTCAACTCAATATACAAAAATACTAAAAATCAGATTGACTTTTGGCTCTAGTCGAGCTTTTATAAACATAAATGAGTCAGGCCAAGCACAAATTAAACTTGAACTGAGTGAGCATTGGATTGAATAAGCTATAGCTCAAGAATGAATCAAAATTAACGCAGAAGTACAAAAGCATCCATGCAAATTGTTGGTTTCTTGAAAATGAGAAAGATGAGAAAAACTAAAATTTCTTGTTGTAAATTGAAGAGAAATCAGAACCACACTTCTTGTGTAGCTTTACAATATCTTAAACTTGAGTGAGCATTGGATTGAATAAGCTATAGCTCAAGAATAAATCAAAATTAACGCAGAAGTACAAAAGCATCCGCAAATTGTTGGTTTAAAGAGAAATCAGAACCACACTTCTTGTGTAGCTTTACAATATCTTAAACTTGAAGCTAATAACAAACTTTCAAGAAAAGACCTAAAAATCAGTCAAGAAAGTAACAGAATTCAAGAAAAAATAGCAACCAACTCCTAAGATTAAGGAACAAACTAAATTCAAATAAATCTAGAGCATGTATTCCAACACTCCTCCTTGCTTTAGGACCTGCGAGCACCAAGTTTCTGCCTTAGAAGTTCAAACTTGCTGATTGGAAGTGACTCTGTAAGCAAATCTGCCAACTGATCTGCAGAATTGCAGTAAATCAAAGTCACAAATTCTTCTTTCTGCACTTCTTAGAAAAAATAACTTGATGTTGAAATGCTTAGTATTTTCATGAAACACAGGGTTATGAGAAATGACGATGATACGAATATCGACACCATTGATAGTCAATTGCATGTTGTCACCAGAAACCCGAATGAGTTTTGAATCACTTAAGCAAGCGTCATCGACATCGTCTTCCAAGTCCGCATGTTTCGTCATTGGCACCGTTTTGATGAAGCCTGAGCTTGACTCGGGTTTCTCTTCCAGCACTTGTTTTGTGGAACTTTGTTGCCTTTGAACTTGAGATTGCAAAGCAGTCACAAATGTTAACAGATCCTCTTTTTCTTTTCCAGCGAACAATGCTTTTTCAGTGACATCTTTTAATCGAGCTTCCGCATCTGCCTGTGAAACCCTGGTCCTTTCTTCAACTCGAACTACAACCGCTTCTAATAAAATAACATGTTCTCTACCTTTTGCGAGCTTCAAACGCCAAAAATGTGCCTCTTGAAGAGCAGAGTCTCTCTGATTGAACAGGATCTCTCTATCTCTGCTAAATGCCGCAACCTTTTCTTCTGATCCTTTTAACTTAAGAATGGTTTCTTGAAGTTTTTTATTTGAATCATTGGTCAGTCGTTCAATTTCTGTGTAAACAAGCCTCCTCCATCCATAGCAAGAGCTGCAGATGCAGCTACTTCAGCAGCCTGAGCTGTCTCAGTTAACTTATCTGCTAACTCACGTATGGTTGAATCTCTTAAAAGTAATTCTTTGGCCAATTGTTGAAGTTCTTCATCTTTAACTCAAAGTGTTTCCTTCATTATCGTAAGATCATCTAAATGTCCTTCATTACCCTCATTAATCAATGAAACTTCTAGTGAGTGGGCATGTTTTACAGAACTTTCAATGGGAAAAGAGCCAAAAACCTTCTGCTCCTCCTGCATTGGATTGAGTGAAAAACTCATCCCTGCCATCTTAACTTCAAACATTTTTTGGCCTGTAGCATCCTCTATCACGCAAGCCTTCTCCATAAACCTCACTTTGAATTCCTTTTCTATTAATTGACCAACATTGAGCAAGTTTTGATCAATATCTGGTACATAGAGAACATCGGTGATCAACTTGGTTCCTGAACAGCTTGCAATGGCTACGGTGCACTTTCCTTTGACTACAATATATTCACCATTCCCAATTCTGACCTTCTTGGACTCGGTGCTCTTCAATTCCTTGAACTCATTGTCATGTGTCATATGATTAGTACAACCACTATCAATGAGCCAGTTTTCACTTGTTTCAGAACTCGTGAAACAAGTTGCAATGAAAAGCTGATCATCTTCTTCTTGATCCGCCACTGATCTTTATTCTTGCACATGATAGCTTCATGTCCCATTTGATCGCACTTGCTGCACTTTGCATCTGGTCTTCTCTAGCATTTGAAGGAGGATGACCCTTCTTGCCACAATGTCGACATGGAGGGTAATCTTTCTTTTGTCCACTTGTAGCTTGAAACTTCTTGTTCATGGGCCACCTTTTCTTTTCATCATCGTGATGCTTGATAGGTAAAGCTCCTTCAACGGCTCCTTGCCTCATCACACGCCTCTGCTCTTGTGCTTGTAAAGCACTTAAGAGTTCTGTCAAAGCAATCTTTGACTGATCCTTCATGTTTTCTAAGGTGGTGATGGTAGCCTCAAATCTTTCAGGCACTGTTATAAGTATTTTCTGAACAATCATTGAATTTTCCAGAGAAGAATCCAAATAATTTGACATGATTTGCTATGTTGAGTAGTCTGTCAGAGTACTCTTTTATGGTTTCTGTCTCCTTCATCTTTTGTAATTCAAAGTCACGAACCAAGTTTAGCACTTGCATCTTCTTTCATCTCCTTCGTACTCGGATTTGAGATAATCACAAATTCCCTTTGCCGTTTTCAACGACATGATACGAGTGAAGATCTTGGAGGAAACTGCAGCAAACAGGCAAGCTTTTGCCTTGGACTTCTTTGTCTTCTTCTCCTTTTGTGCTTTAATTTGTGTTACGGTGGGATTTTCAGGGAGAAGAGGAATATCATAATCTTCATCCACTGATTCTCAGAGATCCAAAGCTTCCATGTATGTCTCCATGTGGACTGCCCAAATCCGGTAGTTGTCTCCGTCAAACACTGGTGGAGCAACTGAGGAAAAACTAGATTCAATCTCCATTGCCGCTCAAACTCACGCACAGATGTCTAATACCAAATTGTTGGCTTCTTGAAAATGAGAAAGAAGAGAAAAACTAAAATTTCTTGTTGTAGATTGAAGGGAAATCAAAACCACACCTTTTGTGTAGCTTTATAATATTTTAAACTTGGAGCTAATAACAAACTTCCAAGAAAAAACCTAAAAATCAGCCAAGAAAGTAACAAGAAACAAAATTCAAGAAAAAATAGCAACTAACTCCTAAGATTAAGGAACAAACTAAATTCAAATAAACCTAGACTCAATAAGCAGTCCTAATATATATTTGTAGTGGGACAAAATTAATATGTAAATATATCAGCCATTGAAGGCTAAACCCAAAAATCTTCAAAAAAGAGGCAAAAGATGATAAAGCATAAAAGTAGAATCAGTTGGCATAGAGACTCCTATGATAGAGACTCCTATATAAAACCAAAGGTCAACGGTCCGTCAAACATCTCCAGCGTGTTTAAGCTAACTGAACTGGCACAAAAGATGATAAAGCAAGCGACAACGATAGAAAAAGGAGGGCATTGTTATCATCATCAAACAAGATGGGAATCTTACCCCACCTGCCATGGAAAATTGAATTTTATTCTTAGATTTAGATTTTTTGACCAATTTTAAGGTTAAAATGAAGCAATAGAGGATTGTCCCAAACATGTATGTCATCATCCTTTTCACAAAGCGATCAATATAAAAAGTGACAGTCATAATACTCCCATTGCCACATAACAAAATTTTTTAGTCAAAGCATGAATGCTTCGTGGAAAAAAATTATGACAATTTGAGCTCCAAACTCCACTATAAATAGAGGCCAATGCGTACTCTCCAATAGAAGGGAAGGAAAAAAGAAAGAAATAGGATCCAAAGAGACTCTAGAGAGAGATTTCTAACAAAATTAAAGGTTAGAAAAATTTAAAGAATCTGAGATTACACTTTGTTTTAAGAAAGTATGGCTTGGATGACCATGTTGAGATAGATAATTATTCTTCAAATATTTTGTACATGAAAGTTCAACAAATGAATTGTAAACTATTTTAGTTACCAATCAAAAAACATTATAAAAATGTTCCAAAGGAAATAGGCACCATCATTACATAAATAAGAACCCTAATAAAATTTCCAATAGTGATAATGTTGCAACTATGAAATTTAGTTGCAATCATATAAAGGAGCACACATAATTATATTGATATAATGATGAAAACTATGAAAACTTGTGAAGGCCAAACGCTCTGTAAAATAATGGCACTGCCATGGAATTTAAATATTGAAGATATGTACAAAAGTAAAAATTTCAAATAGTACGAGATTACTTCAATTGGACCTAAAGTTGCTACTTGTCAATAAATTTGGTTTTGACCATATAATCTGTTATAATAAACTCTAACTTAGAGCTTACTATTTAATTGTGATCAATCTATATGTGCACAATGTGTTATCCCATAGTATTATGATAACTTTAAAACAGATAACAATATATTTATGTTTCTATATATACCGTTGCTTTGTAACTAATAAAATACAAGATTAAACATACTTTTAGCATAGTACAATTTGAAGCAACCATAAAACCTAAGGGGGTTATCAAATAATGGATTGGGTGGTTCATGGCAGCATTTGGCAACAAAGTCTAAATTTA